GGAGGGAAGGAGGGGAGAGAAGAAGAAAAAAAAAGAGAGATTCCAACAGCACAAGGGATTTTAGAAACGCTGAACCCTCAAGACAGGCTCTGCTCTGCCCATTTTACAGAAGGGATCTGAGGCTCCAAGAGCGTTGGCTGCGGGCCGAAGACACACAGCTGGGCCTGTGGGCCTCCTAGGCCCCCAAAGGGTCGGGGAAGCACCAGCCTGATAGGAGACAGAGAGGCTGTGCTGAGAAAAGGTGGCCCACAGACCAGGAAACCTGGGGGTCCAAACCTCACTGTTGATTAGCTACGTGCCTTGGGGAATTCACCTAACCTCTCTGATCCTCAGTTACTGCATCTGAAAAATGGGCTTGGTTAACACTTATCCTACTCTATCTTGTAGGTGGCCTTATTTTCTTAATCAAAACTTAGGCGCCATGGTCAAACAAGTCCAATCTTACTTACAGAAGCAACAGAAGAGAAACTGTGATTCACACACACCGTGGGGCCATGGGCTGTGGGATGTTTGTTTCCCAGACACGGCACCAGGAGGCCTGCAGCGGGCCCGTGGAGGTGGGGGTGAGAAGGGCAGGTCGGCTCATCCAAGGGCAGCTGCTGGGCCTCGGTGCAGACCCCCAGGAGGAGGCTGGGGCGCACGCAGCCGGAGCTGACCAGCCCTCACACTCAGGGGAGTACGCTAAGGTTTACAAGCCCCCATCTTATAGAAGGAGATAATCAGGCCCAGGAAGGGGAAATGACTGGCCCTAGGTCACCTGCCTAGTCAGAATGAGGATGAAAAGCCGGCTTCTGGACCCCCAAGCCCTATCCACACCCTGAAATGACCATCATAACACAGTTAGTGTTAGGGATAGGGTTAGGGATAGGGTTAGGGTTAGGGTTGAGTTAATCTTATAACTACAGTTCCTGGAGCCCTTACTACCAACCAGATGGTGCTATGCTCTTTACACAGGTTACTCTGCTTCATTTTCTAACCATCACAGTTTACAGATGAGTTTAGGCATCTTGCCTGAGTCATTTACTCAAGATTTCACTGCAGGGATGTGAGGCCAGTGTTGTCTGATAGCACAATCCGGGCTCCTGGGAGGGGCCGGGAAAGAATGGGGAGCTCAGGCCCTGGAGGAGGCCCCACTGCAGCCTGGGACTCAGGAAGGCACATGCACCGAGCCACTGTTCAGAGCCCGCGCCCCTGCCCAGCACCTCCTCCAACACGCTGCCCTCGGTGCTCCCCCAAAGCCCTGGCACTTGCCACCATCTCATTCAAGAGAAAGTCCAACCCTCCCAGTTCCAGAACTGAGAACTCCCCCCACCCAACTCCCAGGCAAATCCCCCCACCCACCTCCCATGCCTCAGTGTGGCTGGGGGCGGGCCGTGGCGAGAGAACTGGCCTCAGGATCATCCAACCCATATTTCATAGATAAGTCGGCTGAGGCCCTGAGAAACCATGTGGCAACTTGGGGCAGAGGTGGGACTCAAACGCAGGCGTCCACCTGGGCCAGCGCCCCATCACCACACGCGCTCACCCTCTGCTGGCCATCCGGATCAAGAACCCAGTTCCTGTGTCCCTCCTTCCCCCTCCCCAGCTCCCACCAACGATCTCACTGAACAGGAGCAAAGCTGGGGGAGGGGATGTACTTCTTGAGCTGGGTGGGGGCAGGGGGTGCTACAAACCCTGTCAAGGCTGCCAAGTACAGGCCTTAGGTCACTGAGTCATTCAACAAACATCTGCAGGCTCTTCCTGCCTATCTCAGAGCAGAGGCACCTCCTCTGGCCACCCGGTCATTCCCAGGTCTTCGGGAACCATCACATATATACATTCATTCATTCGTTCAACAATCACTGAGGCCCTACTAAGCACCGGTCACATTTCAGAGTCTCCTTCCTTTCCTCCTGCCACCCCTCCCTCCCTCCCAGCCCTCAGCTCCTCCCACTTCCCCGACTCAACCCTGTGGCCCCTTTGCCCTGGAGAAGAGGGCAGATCCTGGAGGAGCTGGGGAGTCAAGGAGCCCAGAAGAACTGAAGCAGCCCTGGGCTGTCCTGCTGACAGACGACAGACTCACGCACACTCCACGGTTACCTGGTGTGGCCAGGGCAGCAGGCAGGCGCCTCTCCAGCAGGAGGCCCAGGAGGTACCGAGGCCGGCCTGGCCCTGGGGGCTACTAACCCCTGCCCCTGCCCACCTTCAGCTTCCACCTGGCCTAGCAGCAGGGAAAACCCAGCCGGGCCCAGCTGACTTCCTCTTGTGTCATGGAAAGTGAGAGTGCTGAGGAGAGGAAACTCCAGCCAAGGATCTGGGGTCTGAGTAGGGACAGCGGGCCTGGAGGCCTGGAGCTGGAAAGAGAGGGGCAACTAATGGGAGGGTGGGCTGCAGGGGAGGGGAGGCTTTGGGAGTCCAGGACCCCTTCCACTGGGCTGGGGGCAGGAACCAGCCCCAGGGGCCCGGGAGGCAGCAACCCCAGGCCCTGAGCTGCTTTCAATTTTCCAAGAACAAACCAATAAAAAAGATCAGAAACCATAACATTGCCTGTGACAAAGACTCTGAGATCAAATAAAAAGCAAAGTGTTTGTTTGCATTCTTTGCTCTCGGTAAGAAGAGTGTGGAGGGTGGTGGGGAGGGTTGCGGAGTGGGAGAAACGTGGGTTCGAATCTTAGTTTTGACTCCCAGAGGCCACGTGTGGTCCTTCCTGAGCCTCAGTTTCCTCATTTGTGAAATGGAAAACTCCACCCACTTCCCATGGTGGTTAGGAAGATGAGAAGAGGCCAGGCCCTGGCTCTCATAGGTGCTCAATAAAATCGTTTCTCCCTTTCACACTGATACAGTGAAAACAGCCGTGAAGGGCCATTTAATACACGCAGCCAGGGTGACCAGTAAAAGCTTCCTGAACGCTCAGTGTCTAGCAGAAAAACTATAGAGGGGCCCTCGGAGGGTACGCCCGGCAGGGACCACTCATCCGTGTCCCTGGTGCCTGGTGTGGGACAAAGATCTGTTGAATGAATGAAAGAACAAATGAGTGAAAATTGTGGGATTTCCAGAGTCACGGGACAGGAAGGACGTCCGCGAGGGCGCCGGGCAGGGTTGGGAAAGGCTGGTTACAGGCTGAGGCAGTGTCGCCTCTGAGGAGGGGACGAGGCACTTCGGAATCAGTATGAGGTGGTGGATGTGGCCCCAAACACACCTATGATGGGGGGGTCCTCGTTCCTAGACTCCAGGCCTCAGTTATTCCCTCTGATGAACTGATTTGAGCCCCTGAACACCTCCGGGCCTGCTCCAGCCCTGGGCACCTCGGGCAGGAAGCTGGCAGGAGCCAGGCCCGCCATTCGAACTGGGACAGTTGGTTTCACCAGGAGGAAGTTGACAGTTCAACTTCAAACAGGGTGACGCAGGCTCTACACTGCCTGCTCCCAGGACCGCCCCTGCTCATGCCTGCGCCCCGCCCCTCCTCCCCGAGAGGGAGACACGGGGGCGACAGCCTCACCCACGGGTGCCGAGCTTGCCAAGGCCGGGGCAGGAGGAGGCCGTGCCCATGGAGTCTCAGCAGCTGCAGCTGGCCGCCCTCTGCCTGCTGGGGGTGCTGGGTGAGTACCCCTCCTGGGGTGTCGGCCAGGGTACCCGGGCTCGGGGTGCAAGAGAGGAGATGCCCGTTCTCCCCTTGATCTGACTCTAAGGCCCACATGTCACCTCTCTGGAGCACGCAGGGTTGGGGCCACCAGGATCCCTGTCTGAGTCCCCTGCCCCTTCTTCACTCTTGGCCCTGCTTGGCCCACCCCCAGCGCCCCAACTCTGCTCTCTCCTGCCCTGCTGGGGCCTCAGCGTACCTGCAGGCGGGATCCATGCTAAATCATGCTCCCAGCCTGGAAGCCAGGAGGTCCAGCCCCGTCTGAGACGGGCTTCCTCTACAGCTTCCCCGCCCCGTGAGAGTGCAGCCTTTACTGGGGTGCCTCCCGGGGCAGGAGAGTCGCTGTCTCCTGGGCCGTTCTGATGATGCTCTGGGCAGAGTGGCTGAGGCAGGGTGGGGACGCCTCTGAGAACAGTGCTGAGCAGATAGCAAAGATGCAAACCTTAGTTCTTTGTCCCCCTGGTTCTGTCCCCGGAGAGGCCCCAGCCAGGCCCACCAGCCAGGCTATGAGCTCACCTTGACTCTCCTCCCGAGCAGGAGGAGGGCTTCAGAACCCAGCCCTGTCCCCGTGGGCCACTGTGGAAACAACATGGGACCTCCCATTTGCTGGGGGGAGAGATGATGGAAGCTGGGGATCCTCCATCCCCAAGGACTTGGGAGACTAGCTCAGGACCAGCCCTGCCGCTGGGGCTGGCACCGGCTGGCCAGAGGGGAGGATCCTGGGCAATGGGCTGGGGGG